CCTGCGATGGGGTGAGCTCCCGATGCTCAGTCCCAGCTCCTGCCAACCTAGCAGTTCGAAAGCACGTCAAAGTGCAAGTAGATAAATAGGTACCGCTTTATAGCGGGAAGGTAAACGGTGTTTCCGTGTGCTGCTCTGGTGCCGGTTCGCCAGAGCAGCTTCGTCACGCTGGCCACGTGACCCGGAAGTGTCTCTGGACAGCGCTGGCTCCCGGCCTCTTGAGTGAGATGGGCGCACAACCCTAGAGTCTGTCAAGACTGGCCCGTACGGGCAGGGGTACCTTTACCTTTATCCCAGGCCAAAGTATTTGTGCAGCTCAGCAGATTTCCCCAAATCCCACCCCCAATCCCCCCGGAGTTCTCATGGTTTAACTGTTCTAAGTTAAAATCAAAACAGTACTCATGGCAGTGTTAGCAAGGGTCAGCAGGATGCATAAAAATGTTAGTGGACCATTCCATAGGCAGGATAACTTGGTACTAGGTTGCGGCAGGGGTGGCTGGCTAGTGTGCTGCTGGGGCCGTATGTCAGCTTGGCAGGTTGGAAGTGTCTGCTGCATAGAGAGTGGGGCACAGGGATAGTTACCGTATTTTTTGCTCTATAGGACGCACTTTTTCCCTCCTAAAAAGCAAGGGGAAATGTGTGTGCGTCCTATGGAGCGAATGCAGGGGGGAGGCAGGCGGGAAAAGCCCCCAAGATCCGCACACAAGCGCCGTGCGCTCTTGGGGGCTTTTCCCAGAGGAGGGACAAGGGACTGACTGGCCGCGTCAGTCCCTTCTCCCTCCTCGTAGAAAAGCCCGCAGGAGCCGTGCGCTCCTTAAAGGGTGCGTGGCTCCTGTGGGCTTTTGCAGGAGATGGAGGAATTCCCCCACCTCCCGCAAAAGAAGGAAGAAGGTCTGGGAGAAGCCCACAGGCTGCCTGCAGCCTGTCCGCTGCTCCCAGAGCTGGGGGAGGGGGGGTCCTATTTTTTTACTTGATTTCGCCCTCTGAAAACTAGGTGCGCCCTATGGTCAGGTGCACCCTATGGAGCGAAAAATACGGTATTTACTGAAAGGCTCTTTGGAATGGATGGGAAAGAAGGGTTTTTTTAAAAAAAAAAAAACCCCAAGATAGTAGTCACAGGTGGTTTGGCAGACTCCAGAACAAACCAGGCCCTCCCCAAACCCAAGCAACAGGGCAGTGTCCCAGCCCTAGGAAGTTGTTCTAGCCTGCCGTTACAGCTGTGGGAAAAGCGGGAGAGAGTCTGAGAAAAAGCTAAGAAGGGAAGTAAGGTGGTGGTGAGAGAGGTAGCCTCTGGACTGAGAGGAGAAGTGGAAGGGAAGCCGAGGGTCCAAACGTACGCTGTTGACTCAGTGAAACCCTAATTTCCCAATCCTCAGCGTGAGCCCAGGTGTATGTTTGTGTCTTCTTGGAGTGAGCACCTTGGGGTTCCTAACACGGCTCAACCGCTCTTTCCCCCACAGTATGGGGCTGACGTGAAGGCGTGCGACGCCACTGGGCACACAGCCCTCTTCTACGCCCGCCAATCAGGGAGCCAGGAATGCACTGACATCCTCTTGCAACACGGCTGCCCGAACGAAGGCTACAGCAGCATCGCCACCCCTGGCCTGCGCCGGAAGAGCAGCAGTGCCAGCGTGGGAAGGACCGAGGCCCGAACTGCCCTGGTGTAGCATCCCAGGGGGAGCCTCTTTCCCTATCCCAGTGGTGCAGCAGGGGTCCAGCAACTGATGCCTCTTCTCCCTAGGGAGACCCCACACCCCTCTGGCATCCGGACTACGTGCCAAGGAGCTTGGATCATGAGTTCCCGTCTCGCACAGGATGAGGAGGTGGTGGCTACCCAGAGCTCTGCTCCAATGGCTCTGCTTGGCGCAGGCTGCCGCCGCCGTCACCCGAACCACCTCGGCGGCTCGCGACTCTCCTCCCGACTGCCAGGCCTTGAGCTGCTCTGCTGGTCTCCAGGGCAACAGCCATCTCTAAGGCAGGCCGCCAACGCCTGCGGGGAACAGAGAGAGCAATGCGCCCCAGCGCTTGGAGTGAAGGATCAGGGCCCAGGATGGCTTTCTCTTCCCAGTTACTGGGGACTTTTAGAAATGGGGAGGGCGGGGGTGGGCAAGTGGTGAGTGGGGGTTTTCCTTTTCTTTCTTTCTGTGTTTGTAACAAGCTTTGAAGGTGGAATGTAAATCAGTGTTATTGGAGTGGTCAGTGACCCAGCCTCACCTAACCAACTCTAAGAGGGCCCAGAAAAGCTTGGCTGTCAGGGAAAAGGTTAAAAATGGTCCAGCGAGTCTTATCTTTTGTAAGGCAGTGCGCAGGGGCCCAAGGTTTGAGAGGGGGCCTCCATGCCATTTGCAGAGGGAGAAACCCTTTGGCCTTTCCACATGGCCCTGCCAGGCCTCTCCAAATAGGCCACACACCCCTTTCAGTCTTGGCACCTTGATTCCTTTCCCTCTGGGGAGGGGGTGAGAAGGCACTGCTTCAACCCTTCACCTTTTCTGCCTTTCAACAAGGTTTCTTTTTGGCCCTCAACCGCCATGCGCACTCCCCCTCCCCAACCCACCATGCACCTGCCACTGATCTGCCCCCTCACCTGCTCTCTGCTCATCCCTTCAAATCACTTTCTGGTTCCTTGGGAGAGGCTCCCGCCATCAGCCGCCAAAACACTGCCTGCCAGCTCAGGCGTGGCTGTTGTTTGCTGTGAATGCAGCTTATAGCAGCCTGCTGGCGGTGTGGCCTACAAAAAGCCGGGAGAGTGTGACAAAGGACACCGATAGGAAAGCCCAGGCCTTGGCTTTTAAAACAAGAGTGCTTTTATAAAGGGTTATTTGTTGAAAACTAAAGAAAAAAGGCCCTTCCCTCCCTCCCCCTGTCACCCAGACGCCACCTCCACTTCCCTCTCTGGCTAGACTACTGCTGTTTTAATTTATTGCTTCATAAAACTCTTCCCTCTCTCTGGCTGGGCAGCATGTCTGGTGCCAGGGTTCGTCGTCCTCCTGTCCCATCACTGCAGCAGAGGCACCTGTGTGGTTTGCGATGAGTGGTGTGGCCTCAGGCTTTATTTCAAATCTGTGATGAGGGTCATGGCAATGAATTCCAGGAGGAAGGTGAACAGGCACTGACTCCCCACAGTGCTTGGCTGTGGCTCAGTTCATATCCGGGCTGCTTTGTTCAGGGCTGGAGCTAACGAGTGGGCCAGATGCACAAGCCCACCTCGGCCACCTCACAGAGGCGCCAGGCCTTTCTTTGCCCTTCTGAATTGGACCACACTCATGAATGTATTGGCAATTGTGTTGCACGAGGCTTACAGGCCCTGGGTGGAGGTGGAAGGGCCTGCTGGCAAGGACTACCCTGGTGCCACTGCCTCCTCCCTTACAGAGTGAAGAAAGCTGGGCCTGGCACAGCCAGATGTTGAGAGGGGCTCCCTTGCACCTCGGACCCCTGCGCTCCTCCTCCCCCTGCCTTGGAGGACTGGAGCCTGTGGTCATGAGGGGGACAGGTGGGGTATGGGGGGCTCTTGAAGACTGAATGTAATTTATGCTGTTGGGCATGGCAGTTCAGCACAAGCTTCTAGGAAAGTCTCTGGTGCCAGCCCTCACAGTGGGATGGGATTATAATACCTCCTGGGGGGAAATGTGAGGTTTGGGGGTGGGGGGAGGGGGACGCAGAAGTGCCAGAGCTGATAGTATTGGCCCTGTGCCGCTGTTGTAATCTCTTGGATTGTAACTTGTAAGTACGTGACAATGTAAGAAGATGTAATAACAAAGACTGGTTATTCCTTCTTGTGACTGTGGTCTGGAGTTGGATTTGCTGCTGGGCGGGAAACAGTTCTTACTCGGTTTCCTTCCTTCCTAGCAGAGATTAAAGCTGGAAAGGATGCCTTTTAAGGCCACCCTGAATTGCACGGGTGAGGGAGTAGGAAAGTGTTTGTGGCCACAAGAGAGATTATCAAGGCTGGGTGTCAAGAGGTTGGTGGAGGACTGGCTGCACAGACACTTCAATGCTGCTCTCGCCTTGAGAGGTCTCAGAAGCAGCAAGCAAGTTCACCCTGCCTGGGGAAGCAAGAACAGAACAACACTCCTCTGCACATCACAGCAGGCAAAATGTTTCTCAAACCACACAGGTCTGGTGAACAGGAGGGACTATAAACAAGAGGACTAGCGAGACAGAGAAGGAGAGCGTTTGCTTCGTTTACCTACCCCACCCCAGTTAGCTACACTGCTGGATCTGATGCGAGGCGTCACAAAATACTAGCATTAACATGAAAGCCTGCTTCCGGTAAGGTTGGTGATTCGGAGGTTTTCATGTTGCTTCCTTCCTTGGCTCAGGTGTGCAAATCTGCTGGACTCAGGGTCCACAGGAGCTGCAATAAATGCTGCTCTTCAACCAATTGAGCAACTAAGGTTTTAGGTGCTGCCTACAAACCAGTTTGTTGGAGCAAGTGGTATCACACCTGAACCAGGGATGTTGTCTGAGTTGCAACAAAACGTGTGCCGGAACTAACACTAACAGGTGTACATTAGCTTTGATGGTAACGTTATGAATGTAGGAAGGGCATTCATTTTCACAAGCAGTTTGTCCACACAGCACATTCCAAGTACATGCACCACCCAACAAATCATTCTCATTGTATCAACAAAGCTTCTGCCCATTCTTGTTACAACCACAATCCACTGGTGTAGTAATTTCCAAATGAAGGCAAATCAATTTTTGAGTTATGGAAATTGGCGATCGGCTAACACAGAGTTTTAAAGGAGGGAAAGTGTGTCCAAGGGAAGAAACCCCACTATTAGTTTGGATAAACATTCCACTGAGCAATAAGCCATTGCAGGTCCCAGACTATCCTTGGCCAACTCCCTCCTAGCAGGCTTCGTACCTGTGGCTGGGTTTATTACCACCAGTCATTGTACTGCAAGACCGGAAACCACAACTTCTGCAATGCCATCAAGTATCCTACAAAGCCGTGTTGTATCAAACTGACATTCCAGAGAAAAATCAGCACACCTCTCTCAAAAGCAAAAGACAAGGTTTATTAACTTTTTAGCACTAGAGTCTTCCAAGCAGAAAGGTACAGATTCTATAGAAACATTAATTCTCCCCGTCATTTAAGTATCAAAATACAGAGTTAAAACTCACTTCAAATGGGTGTCTTTTTTCTCCACAGACTGGCTAGAACACAAAAAAGTGTTAAAGGGAAGATGAACTTCAGCAGCAGATATTTTAAGTTACTAAAGTGTAAAGGGAAAAGGATTAGTAGTGACCCAGAGGAGTATCCTTCCAGTCCTAAATTTTACTTTCCCGGTTTACCTAGGATGTATCCCTCTTGATCCTTACAAGAGAGGGGAACATTGTAGACAGAAACACTAAAAAGATAAATATTTTTCTTTACTACAAAGTACAAAAATACTGAGAACAAACCCCTCTAAACAGCACAGGGGCCAACTAAACTGACCCAACATTTCCCAGCTTGGAGAGTCAGATTTTTAAAAGCCCACTGCTCATAGGTTTTCCTAATGCAAAGATCCAGAAGTCTCATAGCCCTTTCCTAGCAGAAAAATCTGATGCAGAAAGTGTGACAACTCTTAAGTCAGGGATAGGGAACCTGTGGCCTTCCAATTCCCATCAATCCAGCTAACATGGCCAGTTGTCAGGAAGGAAGAATGAAAGCTAGGGGCAGGAGGACCACTGGTTAGCCACCTCTGCTCTAAATCAATAGCACTCCCTTTAGAACAATACACTTAAGAGACATCAAAGGAGCTTCCCAATCCTCAGCATGTCAAAACTAGCTTAAAAAGAACTGCAACCATGAAAACCCCGTTGAATGTCTAGAAATCCCCACCCACAACATGGCTGTAACTATTGCAAAATCCATTTGCTTCGGCAAAACTTAGATTGCTGGCTAGTCTTCTCACTTCCTGGCTAGTCAGTCTCACCGACAACAAGCAAGCCAAGTGTTTCAAACCAGTACACGAGAAATGAGGTTAAGATTACTTCCCCTTCCACAATCGAATATTAGTTCCCCTCTTTGGTAACAACAGAGTTAGGAGCACCATCCTAGGAATTATTTCATTCTTTGTAGTCCAGCGGAATGAAGCACCTGGAGAAACACGCTTTTCCCTAATTTTACGGAGGAACAGAGAAGCTCTCAAGAGGGTGTCCTCAAGAACCAAGGCTGATCAGCTAAGAGCAAAATAACACAAGCTAGATGCTGGCAGCGTGAAGGGGGTGGGGGGGACTAAGCAGAGGCTGTTCCGAAACAAGAGCCGAGGCGTCGTCCAGCTATTCATGTAATAATGTGGGAGAAGTGCTGCGTGCAGAGACATTCATAGCTTCCGTTTCACCAAGAACTACAACAACCCCTCTCTGCCCTCCAAAAATACAAAAGCAAAGTCCCATTGTCCTGAGTTTATACAGTAGTCGAAATCAGGCTGCTAGGATCACTGAAGTACATTAGCTGACTCAAACTGTTCTTCTCTTGAGCTACACCTACCCTAGTTGGTGGTGTGGGTACAGGCCGAGAACTGCCTTGGGTATAGGTGATATTCGCACCACAGTCGACGTAATGATGAGTCTCCAGGGAACTCTGAGTTATGTGGCCAATGTAGGAGATCTTCACTGAAGTCCTGAGAAGTAGAAGCAAAGAGAAGGAATCACGGCGGGGGGGGGGGAGGCTGTACCCCTTTCTACTATGCTAAAAATGCAGTCATTCAAAGAAGCACCGAGGCAAACATTCTCCCCTCTCCTTCCCCAATCTGTTCTGGGGATTTGTGTGATTTATTCTGGTCACAGAGTTCAGCTTTCAAGATTTGGACTGACCCAGCAGATAATTTTTTATTTTATTTCTCACAAAACTCTACAATGGTACCTCGGGTTAAGAACTTAATTTGTTCTGGAGGTCCGTTCTTAACCTGAAACTGTTCTTAATCTGAAGCACCACCTTAGCTAATGGGGCCTGCCCTTGCGCAATTTCTGTTCTCATCCTGAAGCAAAGTTCTCAACCCGAGGTACTATTTCTGGGTTAGCGGAGTCTGTAACCTGAAGCGTCTGTAACCCAAGGTACACTGTACTTCCTTGCAACCCACACATTTACTGGGAGTCCAGTGGTCCTACAGGTCAGGAACAGGTCTAGTTAGGAATTCACACTTTATCGACTGATGTCAAATTTACTTCTAGCAGAGGCAAAGCAGAATATAAGAGCAGCATACCTCATGAAAATCACCATGTTGTGCACTCTGATCTTGGGTAAAGTGCAAAAGAAACTGGAAGAGACCAAGACAAAGAAATAAATTGGCAAGAGACTTGAACAATTAAAAGGAAACACACAAAATGTGAAGTCTTGTCACGTTAATCATATTGACAAATTACCATCTCACGACAAGTGTTTAATGAAGTGCAGTGCTCTTCAAGCTTTGATAACATTTTGATGCCTTTTTTATCTTTATTTGGGAGCTATCTGCACTTTCTAGCTTGAACAGCCTTGTGAGGCAGGTTACGCAAAGAGCTTGAGCTAGCCCAACCATCCAGTGGGGATTCAAACCTGGGTCTCTTTTGTCCTAGCCCAACACTCTAACCACTATACCACACTGGTGTGAGATAGCTGGGCCTGCAGCAAAGTAGCAAGAAGAGGGAAGGGAAACCTAGGAACCAGGAGAGCAGTGGCATGGAAGAACCAAGACACCACACTCGAGTGAGGCTTCTTGGTTTGTGGTGGGAGCATGCAATAAAAGCTATCGTAAGTTTGGCTGGGAGGGGCATGATTCTCCACATCTTGAGAGGCAATGCTATAATACAATTGCAAGATATTGCTGAAAGACCATTTCCAAAGCTTGTGCAGTTGCTCCAGCAGGCATAAGACAATTAACTACTTGAGGGAACCAAAAGCTCTCTAGAAAAGTGGAGGTGGGTGGAGAGAGGTGGCAGCTACTCTGGGGTAAGTGCTGCAGAGCCTAGCTGAGGTCCAAACACAGATAAGCAAAAAACCAAGTCCTTACTATACATAAGAAGATGGTCCACCCATTTCAGCCTTCACTGTGAAGTTCACCTGGAAAAACAGGGCACAAGCAAAGTCGCATTAGTTTAAGAGGCTGCATCTCCTCTCTCCCCACCATAAAGGAAAGACCCCTATTGCTTTTCCAGACTGCAGTACCAGCTGATCGCTCAGTGCCTGGATACGGGTGACGTTGTTGATCTGCCGAGTCCCAACCACAGTATTCATGTACTGCACCTGGCTGGCCAAGCTAGTTACTGCTACCGAGTAGAAATTGGAGTTTCTGATCCGGAGAGTGGCCTATAAAGTAGGACAGAGGAAAAGAAAGGCAGGAAGCCGGTAAGATTCTTAGCACCAATCCAGAAAACTACAGCTGCATTAAGTAACATATAGACACACTTGGGTATTACCGTGATGGCAAGGACCACAAGGGAGTTTTTCTCGTCAAACCAGACCGTAACCACTTTGATGCCATTGTCATCCACAAGGACTGAATGAGGAAAGAGAAAGAAGACCACCAGCCCCGACACCAGGAGGCAGAGCAGCACCGACACCAAAACATAGAGTTTCCTGCAGAGGACAAGATCAACAGTTTAGCCAGCTTCCCTTCCTAGGCTCAGCTCCTGCTAACAGATCCACACATTATATGCATAAGGACATAAGAAGGACCTTGCTGGATCAGGCCAAAGGCTTCCTGTTCTTACACTGGTCAAACAGATGCCTACAGGAAGAACATCAGCAAGCAGAGCCTCAGGGTAACAGCACTCTCCTTGCTCGTGATTCCCAGCAACTAGTGAACACACCAAAGCACATCTCCATTTTGCAAAGTGTTAAGTTGTGGGTGAACATATCAGACGACACAGCGATTCTTCAAACAGCTCTTGTTTATTCACAGGCCAGAACAGAACTGAACTGAAGGATTCAGTCAGCCTGCTTATATAGAGCTCCAGTACAACGTAAATGTAGCAATTTTCTAAAACTATCCAATCACTGAGTGTCACTTTCGATCCCTTATTTGCATAACTACCTACAGTATCCCCCTGCTGGCCCAGGGTGAGAACTTCAGTACATAACACAAAGGAAGCACAAGGCACTGGACTAGGCTGTTATATTTAATCCATCAGTTCTTCTCCACAAAGTCCTATCATTGCAAAATTCTCCCCTTACCCTCCCATCAGAAAAAATAATTTAACCCTTCATTATACAAAAGCTCCTCAAAACATCCTGAAGATGCACCTCAGTATCTCTGGGGGCAGGCAACAGATAATACACACTTTTTTTGTTCAGGATATGCATCAAGCCAGGCAGCAAAAAAAGCACTACAGCTTTCCAGCACAAAGCCTGAAATAGGAAATTATGATGCTCAGACAATGCCATCTTTGGGCTCACCCCAACAAGGCAGAGAGAGGTTCTGTACAAAGCTGGCTGCAATCTGAAGCACAACATTAGGTTTTCACTCACTAGGCCCACAAGTCACTGTCTCCCTCTCCTTCCCTTCAAAATCCAGCCACTGTGGTCAAAATGGCTGTTAAAGCCGAGATTGAATTTGTAAACAGGACTTCCAGAGTTTGTTTTTACAGGGAAAACACAACTTGGCCAAGAACAGTTTCAAGACTAAACATTTGCTCTCCCCATGAGTGGGTGCACATCTGCTGACCAAGGAAAACACTTCTAAGGAAGCAAACTCTTCTTCATAACAGCTTCTGCCGCAATGCTCCTGTCAGTCTTTAAAGTATTTAAAGTCTCCTTTTGGTGGTTTGAAGACATTTCCACACATGGAACTTAAAGCAGTTATTTCTCTAGTTCTATAAAAACCTACAGTAGCAAATCTGTGGTTTGCTCTCCTGTATCCCCAAGCTTATGGAAGAGAGGTTCGATGGCTATGTAAACTTCATGTGTGGGAAAGCCTTCAATATGAGACGTTCAGTTTTGCTTCCACACCATATGTTTAAAGTGCATTCGATGCACATGACTCCTCCCCAACAAATCCAGGGAACTGTAGTTCCCCCATCACAGACCTACAGTTCCGCTGCTCTTAAAACTAGTTTCCATGATCCTTTTGGGGGAAGCCATGTGCTTTAAATGTGTGTTTGGTGTGCTTTAAATGTATGGTGTGCATCTGCTAACACATTCAGCAAACTTGTTAAGACACCTGCCTTACTAAACACCAGAAATACTGGAATTCACTTTGTAGAATGGGAACAAACTGAGTTGCCTTTTTTTATAGGCTCTGATTTATTCAGTAAACATTTCAGGTTACAATCAAGAAGTAGTCAAGGCATTTTGTAGATTAGAGTAGTTGGGCAGAAAGCAAACTGGACGCGGAGGTGAGATATCTCAGCAGGATATTAATTCACTTCCATGTCTATGTCCAGAACATAAAGGCAGCAAGAGGAGTTAGAGACTTCATTTGTACTTACGTCCTTTGAGGTTTTAACCTCTGGTCATGGTATGGTATTAGAGCTACCAATTCGTTGACTTGCTCTAGAAGAAGAAAGCAAGAAGTAATTGCCAATGCTAGAAGCTCTCAAGTCTTACAGGCTTGTTTTCAATGCACAGATATGCACCTCACAGTTTTTTAAGGTCAGCCTGAGAACTGTGAAATCTGGGTTTCCATATGAAAAAGTCCTAAATAGCTTACTTGAATTTCCTGAATTATCAACAGGACTGAGAAGTGAACAACTCTACAAGGACGGGTGGGATGGGGTAGGTGTTACCTAAGCTGTTTAAAGAATTGGAGGCTATGATAACTCATACTCAACAAAACAACAGACTGGTTTCAAGTCCACCTTGGGAACCTTTAGTTTAAGTAAAATAAACAAACAAGATTGGGAAGGGGAACCTGAGGCCCTCCAGATATTATTGGACTACCACTCCCATCCCCTGTGGCCATTGGCCAGGCTTGTTGGGGCTGATGAGAGTTCGAATCCAACAATATCTAGAAGGCAACAGGTTCTTCATCCCTGTATAGGGTAGAAATAGAAATAAATGTAACTTGAACAAAATTATACACTTGTGGCAGAAATGAGTCTAGAATCCTGATCTAGAGGTGCTACCTACCACTCCACAGAATCTGCCAAGTTTGCCCCACCAGAGGCAGGCAACATCAGGTCTGCAGAGTGAGATTCAGTCTGTCCAACCTCACCTCTGAGAAACGAGGTGCGCACCACATCACCATGTGACTGTTATTTATAAAGGACATAAACTACAAGTGGCAGGAAAATCACAAGGGGGTGGGGAGCAGGGAAGATCCCACAGGATGAAACATGCTTTAAAAACCAATGGGAGCTGAAGCTTGTTATGGAGTCCACTGACAACAGCAGATTGCAAAACTGTATAGCAGGAAGGGGCCTGAAGGAAGCCCAGTCCAAGTCCTATGTTGGGGGTAGGATTCTCTATGTTCCAACAGCCCTCACTTATTAGGCATGACTGGTGTGCAACAACAGCAAGTTGTGTGAATACCACGCCAGCGATTCCTGCAGGACAAGGGATTGGTTTACTCCACACAAATCCAGATAGATCAAAGTAGTAAGCCACAACATACACAGGGGAAGCTCTCCAGGCCATTGGCCGGCCTGGCCCAAGAGGAACTTCTCAAGTACAGTTATTGCACAGCCCAAGGTGAGATCGTAGGAAATGCTAGAAGACAGGATTTGCAGGAGTAGGAAAAGGCACTTTAGGATGCCATTAAGGTATGGCCTAGTAGTGCAAAAACTCACCGTCCTCTGGAAGTAAGCTAGCAGGCTAAGGTATACAGAGCCAGAATTACCTGTTGGGATGCAGCCAGTGCCTTGGCAGGAGGGGCAGGTGATGCTGTCTCGCCCAGTGAATTCAACATATGGAAACTTAGCAATGTCTTCCTCCCGATCCTTGTTGTCTAGCAAATCGTTGTCCTCTTCTCTCTGTCGTCGCCTGGAGGAGTAGGAGCTGGTGCCGACAGATTGCAAAGACCCCATTGCATCAGGTTTTTTCGGGAAGGAGGGGGTTCCTAATGTGTCCTGAAATGGTGAAGCAGAGGGCAAATGTTGACATTAAAAGCAGTATCTCTCCCACCCCAGGTTAATCTGCTTCAGAAAGGGACACCATCAGTTTCACATGTAATCCAAAAGAAAAGGTTAGAATTCTGCACCAAGATGGTGATGGGGAAATGAATGAATTCTGCAACCTGTATACAATCTACATTTTTGCACTGTTTCTCTTCACTTTTACACCATGTATTACGGCTGTGCTAAATTTCTGGGAAGGGGCAAAACAAGAGGATATCTCATTTCTCTCACCTCAAAATTGTAGCTTGCTTTGCCCAGGCATAAGAAAGCACAGAGAGAGAGAGAGAGAGAGAGAGAAGAGTGACAACCAAGTATCCTGTTTGATATTTAATTAATATGAGCAGGGTGCTGGCTTTTGAAATGTTTTAAGTTAACTGCCTTTTTTAAATTTGAAGTTAGGCTGCCTTGAGAAGGGTTTGCCCTACAAAGACAGCCTAGAAATCATTAAAAGAAGATACAGTACTTGGAAACCAAAATTTATTGTCCAGTTCTACTTCCTGCACTTTATATGGATCCCAAACAGCTTGCAGCATATAAACAGTTGCAGCACCTTTGTCCTCCCTCTTGCTAATGCAATCACAATAGGGGGAAAAACAGCAAATGACGCTGTTTTCGCTGCACATGAATCATAGCTGTCAACTTACAGATTTGAAAATAAGGGACCAGCAGCCAAAATAAGGGACCTGCAGCCTCACCTGTTCCAGGCACTCCAGTTTTCCTGTCCTCCTGCAGTCTGGTCAAACATGCTGGGTAGTTTCGAGAACACTGTCCAACCAACTTTGTAACCAGAGGTTCAACTGAATAGAATCTGAAGCACATGCACCACAAGGCCTATGCAGCCTCAGCTTAAAATGGCTCCCCGGCCTGGCTTTGCACTGCAAAGTTTGCAGCAGCACGTGCAACAAAATGGCGTCCAGCATTCAAAAAACCCCTCAGGTTGCATTAACCAGCCACACACAAGGCATGCAAGCTCCACCCCCCAGTCGTTCTTAGACTTCTTACTGGGTGAGCAACACAGCCAAGCAACACAGTTGGAGCCTCCCTCCTCCCTGGCTGGCAGGGAGGGAGGGAGAGGAGGTGCTTCCTTTGAAATTTAAGGGACATCATTTAAGGGACATCCATCAATAAGGGACAGCAGTGGGACATGGCGCTGGAATAAGGGACTGTCCCTTCAAATAAGGGACACTTGACAGCTATGACATGAATATATATGTATACTGTATCATACAGATTCATATGTTTGGCCTGCCGCTGGTGGGGCTATGCTCCCGGGCAAGGAAAGGTATAGTGTACACCTAGGAAGGGCTTGTGGATCCAGCATCATCCTTTGAAGTAAGTCTGGAAACTACCATTGCTCCAGAATGCAGCAGCCAGACTGTTGCCTGCTGCAAGATGTTTTGGATTACCATACAGTGTTGTTCCAGTTTCATTGAGTGCCCGCTTGTGCGAGTCTTAACTTTCAAAGCCCTAAAGAGTCTGGGACCAAGATACTTCAGGAACTGCCTCCTTTGATATAAACTTGGTAATATGCACCATTCAAGACTTGCAGGTCTGCAGCCTGAACCCCTGTCATCTAAAGCAGGCATGGGGAAATCTGTGGCCCTCTAGATATTGTCAGACTCAAGCTCCCATCAGCCACAGCCAATGATCATGGTACTTAGTCCAGCAACTTGGGGGTGGGAGGGGGGCACAAGTTCTTCACCCCTCACCTGAAGTAAGGCATGCATGAATGTGAGACGAGACTTTCCCCAACTGTAACATTTAAACTATGGAACGCTCAGGGCACCGCTCACTTTGAGTCAAGAAGTTAAGGTTTGGATTTGTAAAAGAAGAATGTGGACAAGATTAACAACATTTTCTGATCAGCTGATGATTTTTAATACTGTTTCATTTGTGGTATTCAGGGTGGATAAAAATCAACGATATTAAAAAAAAATAAAAAATAGGATTTTTTTGATTTAAATAATCCCCCACTGGGTTCCAACAACTGCACTGAACTGTACAGAATATACACCTGAATGTAGAAGCATATCCAAAGGGGGGTAGGGTGGAAATAGTAACTGGGATCTATAAGTCCTTAAAGTGCTTGCCAGTCAACTAATAAGAGTTCACTGGTTCCAGGCCCTTCTTCCCAGGACTCGCCTGACATTGTCTAAACAATAAAGTCTCTAACCACATTAGTTAACAAATATGGATACATATGCTATAATGTTAAATAAATAAATTATTTAAATTGTTATTAAGGAAATGATTATTTTTCTCCTTCCAATAAAGTACAGCAGAAAAGTTGTCTAAATGTAAACAGTTAACTTATTAAACCTCACAATAATTTCATAATTATGTCTATGTATTTCTAATAGTATAACCAAATCAGTAATTTTTGATATAACTGTAAAAACTACTTTTAAATTTTATTATTCCAAAATTGAAACCTTCATCTGGTTGTAAATATTAAGATTATACCAGCAAGAACGAGTATGCAGAAACTGATTTAAATCAAGTCTTACTGACTAGTGATTTAAATCTATTTGATTTAAATCAAATCCACCCCAGTGGTATTGTTCTTAAAATATGTTGTGAGACATCTTAAGAGCCACCCAAACAGGGAAACATGTTTTAATAAATAAAACAAACAAGAACTAAGCTCTAGTTGTGGACATAACCTTAAAAGAAGCATACCCATGTCTAAAAAACAATAGCGCTATTTTTTGGATAGATAAAGAGAATGTGCACTGGTTGGGAGATGTTGGAAGAACAAACTTAAAACACGTAACACAAAGAAAAACACGTAAAATCAAGACCAGACCCTTCACCACTCAAGATGGGCAAAAAAGGAGGAGAGAGAGGGTCACTAAGGAAGACCAGAAACACTCATAACAGTACAGTGGTGCCTCGCAAGACAAAATTAATTTGTTCCGCGAGTTTTGTCGTCTTGTGATTTTTTTCGTCTTGCGAAGCATGGTGTCGGGAAAGTCTTGGAAAAGCTTCAAAAATCATCAAAGTCTTTAAAAACCTCAAAAAAGGCTACCACACCGCGTTCTATGAGTTGCTCCTCGAAGTCAAGTCGCAACTGTATTAACGGTGTTAAGAAAAAGGAAACAAACTTGCAAGATGTTTCTGTCTTGTGAAGCAAGCCCATAGGGAAAATCGTCTTGCGAAGCAGCTCAAAAAACAAAAAACCCTTTCGTCTAGTGAGTTTTTTGTCTTGCGAGGCATTCGTCTTGCGGGGCACCACTGTATCTAATTAGACTTCTCCTAGAAAGTGAGGAAATCCAAGTTCCCTAAGCACAAGCCACATCCAGCTACACCCCCTTCCCCCCACTTAAACCCACTGCTTCTTCTTACCCCCAAGAGCATCTCTCTCATGGCCCTGACCCACTTCTCCTACAGGGCCTCCCACCCCATTTCTCTACAAGTAGCTCGCTCCCCACCAGCACCAAGACAAAAACATTATTTACTAGCAAGATGAATGTCATTAGGACAATGTGTGACTGTAGGGATGACTGCAATACTGTACTGTCATTGTGGGTCAGGCCTTTCAGCAGCAGGAATGAAAGGCCTTGATCACACTGTAACACTGCCCTTCCTCCCATATACTGTACAGCATTTTATATCCCCCAACAAAGATGGGATTATTCATCATTATTTTACATGGGGGAGAGAAGGGGAGAGATTTATACAAGGGTGCATTCGGGGACACCACTGGGTTGGGCTCTAAGACTTGGGTCACACTGGTGTATGACAGAATACTGAGAGAAAATGTTGAGGACAGTCCTTTTTCACCGATTAAGTTCATGTTTTCACATTCCTGGTAACCCAAATAGTATACCTGGCCATTTTAAAAGGCCCCCAAGCGCACCTTTCAAAACTTAAAAATTAACAGAACCAACCAACCAAAACAGGAAAATGTGTAGGGCACCTCCAGGCTATGTTTTTTGTTTGTTTTGGGGCGTGTTCTGCAATATGTCACTGAAGCAGTAACAGAACATTAGTACAGTGGTACCTTGGTTTATGAACTTAAGCTGTTCCAGAAGTCCGTTCTTAAACCAAGGCATGCTTTCCCATAGCAGCGGGGGACTCAATTTACAAATGGAACACACTCAACAGGAAGCGGAACATTTTCTGCTTCCAAGGCAAAGTTCACAAACCAAAGCACCTCCTTCCGGGTTTGCAGCGTTCTTAATCCAAGTTGTTCATAAACTAAGCTGTTCTTAAACCAAGGTACCACTGTAGTGGACCATCTACCCATCATTCTGCTTTATAAGTTGTTCTGTGATGCTTCCCCAGTGCTACTGCATTGCTGCCATTTGGAGAGGCACTCTTGAACTATAATGTATCAAAAAAAAAAAAAAGCCAGGACATTTATGGCATAAAAACTTACAGAATTTCAGGAGGAAGTTAAAGGACATGCACTGGCAGGAAACCAAGTTGTACGCCCAAAACTTTTGCACGTGCAAAAAGTACCAGAAAAACAGATTACGTAACCACCTTGATACCATCATGAGCACAGATCATGAATGCAAACTAAAAAGGGCATCTGGAAGGGGCCATAATCAAACACAACAGCATCTCAGCAATTTAAACGCTTTATAAGCAGCACAAACAGAAGTCACGGAGAGAGCTAATCCACCCCTAAGGCATGACAAAAACACAGCCTTTACAAGCCATGGAAATACGGGGGGGGGGGGGCAAACAAATATTCAAGAGAGAGTTCCACAAAAGAAGAAGACCTTGTCCTATGTGGACTCCAGCCACACCTCTCATGGTCGCGAAACAGAGAACAACCTCCACTGAGGACCACAATAGACAGGCAGGATCATACAGGAGGAGCTAGTTCTTAAAACTACCATGCCCAACTATTCAGTACAATCCCACACACAAATTTAAAGTTGGAGGCACACATCATTCTTCAACCTGAAAAAGGCTATTCTGACAGCGGCCAATTTTTTTCTATAGGATGAGTGCACATTCACCTTTCTACAAGGACCGCTCACTTCATGCTTGCCTCCACCTTACAGTCAAGAGGCACTCAAAAATGCAACTCTATATTGGGGTAACTGAATGATGCCATCACACAACCCCATGCAGAGAGGTGGCAGGATTATCCTCTCACCCCTGGCAAAGAGACTAACTGAAAGGAGGCAAGACCCATATAGTGAATCATGCATTGCAGACACACAACAGACGGCCTCTTTCGTGGATGCGCACAAACTTTACTTCTCATGGCACACAAGCAGTTTTCTCACAACCCGTGGCTTTTGAATTACTAAAGCAGATAGCAAGACTAAATGAGATACTTCACCTGGCGGGTTGACAGCCAAAACTGGGGAACAGAAACATGTTGGATAGGCTGTGCAAAGGCAGAACCACCCTTTAATTTCTTTTTTAAAGGGGGGTGTCAGTTTCAAACAATGAGATGCAGGAGGAGAAAGAGGGTGGGGAGAGAAGACAAAGGTAGAAAGATGGCCACACAGTGGTACCTCAGGTTAAGTACTTAATTTATTCCAGAGGTCCGTACTTAACCTGAAGCACCACTTTAGCTAATGGGGCCTCCTGCTGCGCCGCCGGAGCATGATTTCTGTTCTTATCCTGAAGCAAAGTTCTTAACCTGAAGCACTATTTCTGGGTTAGCGGAGTCTGTAACCTGAAGCGTATGTAACCCGAGGTACCACTGTATATAGAATCATAAAGGACCACAAGGGTCAATCTAGTCCAACCCCTTGAAATGTAGGAATCTTTTGCCCCAACGTGGGGCTTGAACCATGACCCTGAGATTAAGATTCGTGAGTTCTACTGACAGAGCTACTCCTAAAAAATAATAATTGAAGCCAGTCTCACATAGCAGGTAAGGTTAAAAGACTATTGGGACAGATACTAGAAGAAAGGCAGCAGGGTGTAAGGATTAGGGGTGTCAAACTAGGGCTCAAGGGTTCTTAGGGAAGCTTATAATGTTTGATGTATTACAGTATTTTAATATTTTTTTGGAAGGCGCCCAGAGTGGCTGGGGAAGGGGTATAAATAATAAATTATTATTTATTATTATTTTTATTATTGGCCGGCCGGCCAGCCCCACCCGCCACTGCCCCTCTCTAAGCAAAGCCTACCTCACAAGGGTGTTGTGGGAATAAAATAAAAAGACGTGAGAATGGGGGGAGGGGGAGCTCCTTGGAGGAAAAGGAGAGGTATTTATTTATTTAATCAAACTTACACACCGCCTGACTGCGAAACGACGACCCCAAAGCAGCTTACGAAAGATAAAACAGTGAAATGGAGAGAGAGAGAGAGAGAGAGAAATACAAAAGTTAAAACGCTGACCCCTATTAAAAACCACCTCAGCTTTCTAAGCATTTGGGGGGAGGCTGGTGTCGTAGAAACAGCAGGTGCTATAAAGGGGTCTTGAAACCGCTTCGCCTCAGCTAAGGAAGACCCCGACCCGCTTCGGGCCACCCCTCTCTTCCCTCTCCCGCGTCACACGTTCACACGTTCACCCTCCCTCACCTCCGGGCTGAAGGCGCCCCAGCTCCGTCCTCACCGGCGGCTCCTCGCCATCTGCTGAAGCCGCTTAGCGTCGCTATGACACCCAGCAGCGTCACAACGAGGGAGGGGCGGGGCCGAGAGGAAGCCACGCCCCCGCCCGGAGCCGCAATACGCAACAGAAGAAGGGGCGTTTTCAAGCCCGCCCCATATAAGGAGCCCTCACCTCCCCGTGCGCAGGCGCGGCATACGGGCGTGACACCCCAGCGCGCGTGCGCAGTCCTAGCACCGGCGTCAGCCCGTATCACGAGGAGTAGGCGCAGGTGCAACGACGCGCTGAGACGCCGAAGCCTCGGCCCCCCCACAAGGGAGCGCTGTTGGTTTCACTGCGCATGTGCGAACGATGGTTAGGCAGGGAAGGCTCTGTCTCTTGAGAGGGGCGGGGCTCTCTGAAAGGGGCGGTCCCGCCCGTGAAGCAAAAGAAGGCGGGCGCAGGAGGCGCTGGGGCAGCAGATCCCAAGACAGTATAGAGCTTTATTGAATCATTCTAGCCCATTATTCCCCGCTTTGTTCCATGTAGATCAGTGTTTCCCAAACTTGGGGCGCTGGCAGATTTTGGACTACAATTCCCATCATCCCTGACCACTGGTCTTGCTAGCTAGGCATGATGGGAGTTGTAGTCCAAAAAACAGGTGGCGACCCAAGTTGAGGAAACACGGATGCATATCTTCACTCACCCCTTCTGCCTTGGCGTGGGCGGGGGGAACCGTGGTTCGCCTCAGCTACCCAAACTGTCTTGTATCTGAATACAGATTGACACCAATTTGCTCCAGTGCCATTAATTCAGTTTAATCACACACACACATGCACACCAGTGGTTCATATGAATTTAATTCCACAGTGGTAAGCATTCTGTTGCATGAGCTGTAAAAGATCCAGCTGAATCCAGAATTAATTCTACAATGAGAGCAGACTCTTTAAATTCAATGGGTCTCCTCTAAGCATGGCTATGTCCAAATCCAGCCTATTCCCTTTGAATGGGCTGCTTACCCTTCCTGGTTCTGGGATAAATCCTAAACCCACGTATTCCCTGTTGAATCCCACTGACCTTCGCCTCCAAAGTGAAGGTGCATAACACTACAATCCCATGACTACTCAGAAGCAACCCACTGAGCTCCATGGACTTTACTCCCATGAGTGCGGAGAGTACTGCAACCTAAGAGTAAGGCAAATAAATGACTTAAAGGTAAAGGTAAAGGTACCCCTGCCCGTACGGGCCAGTCTTGACAGACTCTAGGGTTGTGCGCTCATCTCACTCTAGAGGCCAGGAGCCAGCACTGTCCGAAGACACTTCCGGGTCACGTGGCCAGCGTGACGAAGCTGCTCTGGCGAACTGGCACCAGAGCAGCACACGGAAATGCCGTTTACCTTCCTGCTATAAAGCGGTACCTATTTATCTACTTGCACTTAGGGGTGCTTTCGAACTGCTAGGTGGGCAGGAGCAGGGACCGAACAACGGGAGCTCACCCCACTGCGGGGATTCGAACCGCCGACCATGCGATCGGCAAGTCCTAGGCGCTGAGGTTTTACCCACAGCGCCACCCGCGTCCCTTAATAAATGACTTATAGTGTGGCAATGAGGTGGTAGAGCTGGGCCTGCAACACTTCACAATAAGCACTCTATGATTTTTTGGAAGGTTTTAAGCCAAGGTTGGATGGCCATCTATCATGTATGATTTAGTTGAGATTCCTGCATCGCAGGGGGTTGAAATAGCTTGGGATCCCTTCCAACTCTATAATTCTATTACTGTATTCTACTCTATGTTTACTCAGAAATAAGACCCACTAAGTTCACTGGATTTCTGCACTTAGATCCTTAGGCCTCTTATGCATAGAGACAGGAAAAGATATAAGATTCAATTGTCTGGGATGGAATTTCCTGGTTCTTTTTTCTGCTGTTTCTTCCTCACCATCTACCTTGGTGGGGCAGAAGTGAGAACAATGGAAAACAATGTCGCAATTCATGGCTTTAGGCTGCCTGACATTGGCCAGTGGGGTGTCCACCCAGAAATAAAAGATAGCAGCAAAAAAGGGAACCTAAGGTCTTCCTAATTTACATCTTATTTCATTGGGAGAAAGGTTTGAGGATGGTTGGTTCTTTGCTTTTGCTTTTTGAGGTTGTTAAACTTCTATAAATTGCTCTGTTGCCAAAGCCATACTATTATTCCCATACTGTACATTGCAAGTGTTAACAGCTCGAACTTCAAATGGCAGGTTGGAGACAAGGCCAAGTTTGGCTTGGATTACAAAATTCCTTGGAGGCTTCAATAATCTCTCAACTAAATGTCATTTGGAATTTTCCTGAAGCAAGCTCTTTAACCTTAATTTGGTTTCTTGGAGTCAGTCTGGTTAATAGCTCACATGATCAGGATGCTATACTCATACAAGACCCTCCAAATACTGTACTAAGATTCCCATTTCCAGAATTCTATATTGTGGTTAATCTGTCCTCAAAGCAAATAAGCATTCAGTTGTGAATTAAAATAAAAAGGTAAACGACACATTTAAAATAGCGTTATACCTTTAAAAATGTTACATCTTCTACCTGGTCAATCTTTTGACAAAAGTTGATGTTTTGAAAAAATGGGCTCTTCAATAAAGCAATTACAGAGCTCTCAAAACCAGGAGCTACACTGAAGAACTGTAGTCTACAGACTGTAAGCTCTAAAATAAAAACAGAAAATTCTCAAACTCTTGTGAAGGTGTAGCTACAGATGCTGTTCCTTATTGGCTGTTCTTTTCATTCTACAACTGCAGGTTCTCAAGAGTTGTGTCAATGAATTCTCAGACTCCTTTTCAGATTATTTGGAAGAAATCTTTCTATGTTTGTTTCACTTCATATATATAGTAGGTTCATCTTAATTGTTCAAAAATCTTAGACAAACTTTGTTTTGTTTTCAAATTCAGACATTTACGGTATTAAACAACACCTTAGAACTTTTAAGGTTCAAAGCACAAACTACTGATTTGACAAATATCTGTGAGAGAAGCTATTGTTGTTTTTAACGTAACTGTAATAAGAACAAATTGCAGAGAGGAGGCCGGTAATAATTTAATATAAAGATAGCAGTTTCACATTTTGTGTTTTTCATTTCCCCCCCTGCAAGGCACCTGTTTTGGAAAGTTGAACTTAGCAGTTTTGGGGAGAGGAGTGCAAGTAGCTAGCCATGCCTAGGGAACAAAATAGCCTGGCACCAGCACAAGGCCAACAAACACAAAGAGGAAAAACATCAATGGGCTGCACGCCAGCTGGGTAACCCTAGCTTCTACTGAGAGCTCCTCACCCAAGCCGAGAAGGGCTCCTGTGCTCTTCTGTGCAATGCTAAGTGCAAGATGTTGGTCTTTGTGACCTTGAGGCACATGCCAGAGGCACTGACGACAGAGAAGTAGCTGGTGAGTAGTTGCTTGACCGAGGGGGAGAGGACAGCAGAACAGGGGACTCCTGCAGCTCCTCCCAAACACACTCCCAGCATCCAATTATACAGTCACGTTCCAGAGATTGCATCTGCAGGTTCAGGTGACTCAAATCTATGTACAGTATTGACACGCACAGGGGACAGAAAATAGTTTAAAGATTCTGTCCCGCAACTAGTGAAGTGTGTGAGTGTGTGTTGCACAAAAATCACAACGTGGGGAAAACTGTGAAGCCAGCCAATGCCTCTACATAGCTCCATCCTTATTTCAGATATTGCCATATATCAATATATTCCAATATTTAGCAGTTTGCTACTCCCTGTTGCAGGGAGTAACATGTATGATGGTATGTTTGGGGCTTTCCTCCATCTCCACTTTGCAGGATTCCTCTGGAATGCCAAAATCTTCTGCATGGCTTTTTAAAAAATTGCCCAAATACTCTAATGCAAGGAGTTGCAGTGACAATGCAGTGAGATTCTACTCAGAGTAAGCCTATTGGAATGAATGGGATTGAATTAGTTATGTCCTTTAGTTTTTGCTTTTTATCTGGATAATACCTAATTAGGGGTAGGGATTGGTTTGGTTTCTTTCTGTTCTGGGTTTTATTAAATATTTTGTTGTGTTGTTGTTGAAATTCCACAAATTGCACATCAGGATTCGTTACATAGTAAGTTTCCCCCCCCTTTTCTATTATCTGCTTCCCATCCCATTTCCTAAGATGTTTTTTCTTTTCTTTTGCACCCTTAGCTGCAACTTATCTTCCCTCTTTTATATCAGAACTCTAATGCTCTATTAGAATTAAAAGAGGGGGAAACCCAGCCGGATGGGCAGGGTCTAACTAAATCATTATGATTGTTGTTTTATTTTTGTGTGTGTGTTTTTATCTTGTATAAAAGATTAAAACACAAAAAAAAAACAGAGTTGAAGCAAGAAGGCATCTTCAAATATTAAATAAATGCAAGGAGTGAATTGCCAGGACTTGGAAGCCCCCTGGTGATGAATTCACTCTTTCCACCCACCCACCCCCCCTTAAAAAATGTGCATGGAATGAATGAGCTGGCATTCAAATCTATTCTTTAAAAAAGCATATTTTCTATTATTATTGGTTCCATTCTGACAAATATTGGGTCCATTCTCCCACTTCTGCCCCCTCTTGATTCCCTCATTTCTGGGGGTTGGACTAGATGTCCCATGGGTTCCCTTCCAACTCTTCCGTTCTACAATTCTCTCGCCTACAATTCTGACAACCGCTTCAGGTGAACCTGAACAAACAGCACTGACACCAAACCCTACATATAGTAAGTAAAATAGAAAAATCGCCACCCAACCCCAACCCCACCCATCTTTCCCCCCTCCACCTCTTTCCCCTTTTCTTCCTAATGTCTCAACAAATGAAAATGATTTGTAAATGTGTTACATGGGGGGGGGGGGGAAACACGAGAGAGAATTGCACTCTTTTGTAAATCAACAAAATCTTTAATAAATAAATAAATACTAGTCATAAAAAAGAGTCCTCCTCACCTGAAGGACATCAAAGTCCACCTGAAGTCCCAAACAAAACTATCAGATCCTGATCCACGCAGATCCATCCGTGTATGGAGCGATCTGTGTGGATCTGCATCTGATAGTTTACCACTCCCTGTTGTAGGGAATCACATGTATAATTGTATGTTTGGGGACATCAGGTGGGCTTTGATGTCCTTCAGGTGAGCTTTGGGGTGTATGGCTTTCCTCCATCGCCTCGTCACAGGATTCCTCTGGAATGACAAAATC